ACCATAACAACGTTAAATATTGTCACAAAGTTAACAACTCAATTCCAATTCAAAACACAGCTTTTTGGTAAAGTTTTCACTTTCTGTTGGTTTATTACTGCTAACTAATTCTTGTCTTTTTTGTCTTACCTTTTCTTAAGGCTCCGAACAAATCGGGGTTTGAAATTGTCATTATTATGTGCTTGCTTATAACTAAAATAAGACAATAAATCTATGAAATTATGAATGGGTGTCGGCCACTGTATGGATGCAGAATGAATACATATATCATATATAATTAGAAAAACGCATTCTCGGTACACTTTCCCGTCGCTACCTAAAAATACTATTACATAAACTTACACCAGGCCAAAATTAACCAGCATTCTGATAACGTCCGTATAATGCTGGTCAATTTTGACCCCGCGTAAGTTTGCATTTCCTGATGATAAAGTATACATATAGTATAGTAGTATGGTATGGTATAGTATTAGTATTAGTATGGTATTGTTTTTATTATATCGATTTATATATATATTCTTATTCGTAGGGGGCTTTTTAAAATCTATATTCGAGAAATTTATTTCCTTATTTTAGATCGTTGGTGTTAAACGTGTGGTATTAGTAATTGTAATGCGATTGGCGAGTTATAAGGTCGAGAAATGAAAATGGGGAAGATGAACGTGAAGTATTAGATTAAAATGATGGTGATGTTAAATTGCTCGTCAGTTCAGCTTAGGTTCGTCTTAATCCAGTTTTAGAGTTCAAGCAGATTGAACTTTTTTAAAAAAAAGGCTTTTTGAGCGATCAAATTCGAAGTATAAGTTACATAATATTAACGTAGTTATATAAATATTCTTAAGCATGTTATTTAAAGCCAAATTCACTCGAACGGGTTTAGCGCAAACCTGCTAACATATCATTTTATCATAGTTTGTGTGAATGCATTTGCTCAAAATGCCCTTTAATTGTGGTAACTCTGGTTTCTTTTGAATACGAGGCTTAGGACAAAGTTGAAAAATCTGTTTGACATCAACTTCTTCAATAAATTTCCAAATAGGATCAGTTTTTCGTGAGTGATTTATAATTTGAGGTATATTTATTTTTCTATTTTGACTTTGAAGTAAACACACAATGATATTAATGTTTATAATAAAATAAAATGCGCTTGAGCTGTCTCACATAGGTTGATCAATATCAGTGACGTAGAACGACTTTTACATAGTACATAAGTTTTTGATTGAAGAAGAAAGAGAATAATTGTGTTTGTAATAAGAGAAATATAAATGACTAACTGATATTTATAAATAAATAATATTATACTAATAATAATACTAATATCTATACTATACTTACTATATATAAACACCCATAAATCTATTAGGCGACTTAATCCTTGCTGCATTAGATATTTATGCCATGATTTTTCGTTCAGGTAATATGTAAATTTACTTTTGGGAAATTTCGGCTTGAAATAGGAATTAATTTTTGGTTACAATGTCAAAACATTTATGTTTGTTCGTGATCCATCAATAAAGGACGGAATAAGCATCAATTAGTAGTAGTCCATAATCTTAAATAAAATCCGAGTTTTCTAATCCAGAATTGTTTTGCCTAAAATCATGCAGATTTTTATTGAAAAAATGATTTTTTATTTTTTTATATAATAGTTGCAAATTATAATCATAAAGTTACCAGGAAAATGGATGCCCAGATTTAACATTCAAAATCTACCATGTCTCTAAAGTTAGTGTCTGCAACTGATTTGAAATTCTGCAATCAGTTGTGACCTAGATTAAAATATCCCTAATTGCAACTTCTTAGTTGCAGACACCAACTTTACACACCTCAATAATTCTTGGCTTAAATATGGCTGTTTTGCCACTTTTTGACCTGTGATAGTTTATTAACCTGTTAAAAATTAATATGCAACAATTACTGTTAGTTTTTTTCTGGATATAGTAAAATAAATAAGTCAGCATCTACCATTGTGGTTATTGAAGAAATAAATTTACATTATTAATGAAGATTCTTTTGAACACATTCTGATTATTTTATATATTTAATTAAATATATGAATTTTATATATTTTATATCCATAATCCAGGACCACTCATTAAATAGCAAGAAACCTGATAATTTAACAGCTCATATCTTTGTAAGTAAATATAGTTTTTACTTTTGATTTACATATTTGATATAAATTTTTTTTATGTGTGGCATACTGCAACAAAACCAGACAAAGTGAACACAATTAAATGATAAATTTCAAGAGTTAAGATTCAACCAATTAGAATAATATATCATTGCCTTTAATTAGTAAGCTAATTATAATTCATTATAGATATTAAAAAAAATTTATGATTATGATGGAGTCTCAAATACAAATATTTTGGTTTGAAATTGGTTTGGAGGTGTATGGGGTTGAAGAAGTGCAGATTCTTTGTCAAATCTGTCAATTTCTTTAAATGAGTTTTCAATCAATAAATGGTAATTATACAATATTTTGAATGACTTTTTTATGTGTACAAGAGAATTTGGACCATTTGTTGTTGAAATTATACATGCAGCCCAAAGTATTTTGACACTGTCATAAAGGAGTGTTACACTTATGTTGTTAATAGTGAGTGCCATAATTAATTTCTACTTTCTACCATCAAAATTGGAATAATTTTGACCATTGAAATCACCAAACCAATTTGGGCTGCATGTATAGTTGGAATATAGACTTTTTCCATATTACGAATTCTATAGAATGGTATAAACTTATTATCCATTGTTGATAAAGTAATGTGATATCCTATTAAAAAAATAGCTCATTAAAAAAAATTTTTTAAGAAAATATTTATGTATACATCCAATAACTTTTGCTGTTAAAATGATATTTACCATGTGATTGAATCAAGAATACATTAACTGATTATGATGAAATGATTCAAATGAAACTTTGCTAAATTTAGCTAACCTTGTTTTATCTTCTTCAATATGATTTAGATTGTTTGGGTAGTTTGGCCCATATGAGGTCTCTTCAAAAATCAATTCATAATTATATTTTCTGTCTATAATGCTTGACATATAAGCTTGAAAATCACCTTTTTTTGTTTGGCTCTTGAGCAAGAAGTGGATTGAACAACTTTGTTATCCCTACAAATATAAATATTGTGAGTGTGCAATCCAAGTTTCCTATTTAATAGGTTATTTTTCATGCCTACTCACTGACTTACAGTTGATTCCACTATCTTATGGCCTACTCACCTGGATAGTCCCTTCTATTGACACACAGCCTACTTGCTGACTTATGGTCAAAATTTCTTTTATCTTATGGCCTACTTGTCTGGATAAAAGATCCATATTTTATTTAATTAACTATATCCCAAAGGCACCCCTCAAGATGTATCTCAGTGATTAAGGTTGTGGTTTCTTGCTGGATTCAGCAAAGGTTTCTCTTTATCAGTTTATTTATTAGCAAAGAATTATGTAGGATAAATATATTATGTTGTGAGATTGTAAATGAGGACCGAGGAAGTTCTGACCTTGTCAATCAATCAAAACCAACTTACTGTGGAAGTCATGTTATGATGACATCATTTCTATTTTAACAAATTGGAATCTTTCAGAGAACTTTTGCTAAATTCCACAAACTAGAATAGGAATTTATAAAATAACAAGAAACAACCCTGATGAAAGAAGTTTTCTCCATTGCTGAGATTGAATAAAAGAGAACTGTCAAGACTTTGATATTTTTATTGATGATAATCATGTGATTATTGAAAACACAGTAAAAAATTTTGGTCCAAGAAAATTTATGTAATGCCTGATTATAAACATAGTCAACATATTCAAGATCCCAATATCTACCACCTTAAAAATACTGTCTCAGATTTAAAAGATGAAGATTTTGCCAAAGCTGTTGAAGAATATAAAAACAATACCTCAAAGATTGAAGAAAAGTTTGATGGTAAATCTATTTGGTCATGAATACTTTAACTTAGGTTTTATGGTTGCTATGATTTATGTTGTTAAAAGGATTAAAAAGAAAAAATAGATAAGTATGTAATAAGATTTATTTGTCTTCTTTCAAAGGTTTCTGCTTTTTGTTAGGTAGTAATGCATCTTCATCTTCATGGTGTTTCCTTTTTCTAATGTTTATTATTTTTCTTTCTTGGTAAATTTCATAGGTAATCCTTTCTTTTCTTAGATAAGTTTCTAATGCCAAAGTACAAAATATAAGGAGCAATTTTTTCTTCCTGTTCTTTCTTCAAAATACTTCTAATGGTGCTATAATTCTTGGGTTCCATGGTAGACTTAATGTAAATTAACTTCATATTAACTACTTTTATATAGAGGTAATTCTATATATCAAGAAAAAAACAAATATAACAAATGGGGGAGATTTTAATAATCACATTACTAAATTTTGATCCCTGAAATCATTGGTGATACAATGTTCACTTTGTCTGGTTTTGTTGCAGTATGCCCCATGTAACATATATAATAAATGCATGACTTTCTATGTTTAAAAAATTTGCCCGAATCGGCATTAATCAAATTCTTTCCCTAATTCATCCAAATGTTTGTTTTACAAGTGAAAGCATGATGATGTCACAATAGGAACGTTAATAGTAAAGCGATACAAATGCGCCCGCCGATCACTAATTAAAAATTCTTTTCTTAAATTCTTAAAAGGATACGTGGATCACGGATTAAAAATTTCTGCGACTATGTTAATTTCGTCAAAGTTATCATCGATTTTCTTTAAAAATAATAATTATCAAATTTTAATTTGTCGTAATTATGTATCTGCTTCAGGTAATTTAAATAATAATGATTTTATATTTTGATAATTTTATTTATACTGTATATTTTCATATTCAAACATGTGAATAGGTCGTAAACCATTATTTGACAAGATATTAATAGCAAACCGGTATAATATTAAAATCCTTGATTTTTTTTTAAATCATTTGAAATAATTTGTTTGATTAAATGTTGTTTTTAGAGGGGAAATTGCATGTCGTATTATGAAGACAGCCAATAAATTAGGAATAAAATCAGTTTGCGTATATAGCGAAGCAGATAAAAATGCTTTGCATGTTAAAATGGTAAATTTGATTCAATCAGGAACTCTCTTTTTTTAATAAAGAAATCATTTATATATATATATATATATATACCCATTTATTTATTTATAGGCAGATGAAGCATATTTTTTGGGACCTGCAGCATCATCAGAAAGTTATTTAAATATAGAGAAAATAATAAACATTGCTAAAAAGAGTGATGCTCAGGTTTTTATTTAATTTAAAAAAAAAATTGCCTTTTTTTGGAGCAAGAAAAATTAAAATTCAATATTAAAAAAAAACAGGCAATTCATCCAGGCTATGGGTTTTTATCAGAAAATCCAAATTTTGCAAAAAGATTAGCTGAAGAAAAAATCACATTCATAGGACCACCTGCATCTGCAATGATTTCAATGGGTTCTAAAAGGTTAATATATTGTATTGTTTTATAATATACATGTATATATATTGTTTTATATATATATACACACACACACAAACATATATATAGTGAATCCAAAGATATTATGATGGCAGCTAATGTACCAGTTGTTCCTGGATATCATGGATCAAATCAAGATCCTAAATTTTTAAAAGAAAAGGCTTCAGAGATTGGTTATCCGGTATTAATAAAAGCTGTTAAAGGTGGTGGTGGAAAAGGAATGCGAATAGTTAGAAACCCATCAGAATTTGAATTACAGCTTGAATCATCTAAACATGAAGCAATGAAATCTTTTGCAGATGATCAAGTTCTTATTGAAAAATATTTATTAACACCACGTCATATTGAGGTGCAAGTATTTGCAGACACTAGTGGAAATGTGGTCCATTTGTTTGAAAGAGATTGTTCGGTGCAAAGAAGACATCAAAAAATTTTGGAGGAGGCTCCATCACCTGGTTTAAGTTGGGAAATTAGAAATGAATTAGGTGCAAAGGCAATAGCAGCAGCTAAAGCTGTTAATTATGTTGGTGCAGGCACTGTTGAATTTATAATGGATAATGTGGACAAAAAATTTTATTTTATGGAAATGAATACAAGATTACAAGTTGAACACCCAGTAACAGAAATGATCACCTTAACAGATTTAGTTCAATGGCAATTAGAGGTAAAGAATTTTTTTTTTTTGATAAATATAAATAAAAGACCTTTAATTAATTAATCTATGTTATACAATAGGTTGCATCTGGTAATCCTTTACCTGTTAAACAAGAAGAATTAAATATTGATGGACATTCTTTTGAAGCCCGTATATATGCAGAAAACCCATCAAAGTATATATTTATCATCTTAGAAATAAATTGTTATTTTTATAATTATTAATTATTAATTATCATTCTCTCAAAAAAAAAAACTAGTAATTTTCTTCCTGATCCTGGCCCATTACTTTATCTCAAAACTCCTAATCCATCATCAAACATACGAGTTGAAACTGGATTTGTACAAGGAGATGAAATTAGTGTATATTACGATCCTATGATTGCAAAATTAGTCGTAAAAGGTCATGATAGAACAGATGCTTTGAGAATTTTAAGAAAAGCTTTAGATGAATATCAAGTAATTTGAATTTTACTACTTTTATAAAGAAATATTTTATAAATAATAATATTATTAATTCATTCGTTAAAAAGGTTGTAGGATTAAATACTAATATTGAGTTTTTAAAAAGAGTTGTTTCGCATGAAGCTTTTATTAATGGTGAAGTTGAGACAGGATTTATTTCTGTAAGAATTAAAATAATTGATTACATGTAATGAATTTTTATGTATTATAAACAAGACTTTTCAATTAACAAATTTTTTTTTGTAAGGAACATGAAACAGAATTATTTGAAAATAGATTAGAAATTCCAAGTAATTATGATATAATTCAAGCAAGTTCATTAATAATTTTCAATGGATTAGAAGAATTAAAGAATTATAATACATTGAATCTCCAAGGTAAACAATAATCAATTGCATATATCTGCGCGCGTACGTTTATATTTATATTTATATTTATATTTATATTAATATTGATACTAGATCCATTCTCGCCTTGGAATTCACTAATCGCAAAAAGGTTAAACATAATACATAATCATACTATAAAGTTTCTAAACCCAAATGATAATAATAAAGAAATACAAGTTATAGTTGGATATAATCAAGATAATACATTTGATTTTACAATAATTAAAGATGGCGTTGATGACAAACCACTAATAAAATTTAAAAATGTAATTATAAAATGGGATCAGAATGAACAATTAATAATAACTGATATTGAAGATCGTAGATATATAAGCCGTGTAATCTCAGAGAAGAAAAATGGAAATATTACTGTATTTGGTGAGGTAATATAAAATTCGAGAAGGAAAAGGACAAAAGTTTTTGATATATATTAATATATAAAACCATACTTTATTAAATTTACAAAAAAAAATTTTTTTAAAAAAGCATGGTAAAGTTGTATTAAAAGTACCAGAACCTAATTATCTTAAAGTAGAAAGTGAAAAAAATGAAGGATCAGTGATTACACCAATGCCAAGTAAAATATCGCAGGTATTTTTTTCTTTACTATTTATTTATTTTGAAATTATTGATGATGACAATATTAATAATTCCCATTATCTTTGTTTTATTTAAAAAAGATATTTGTAAAACCAGGACAAACAGTTGAAAAAGGAGCTCCTTTAATTGTATTAGAAGCTATGAAAATGGAGGTAAATTTATATTTCGAGTATTTTCTATATATGTGTGGTCGTAATTTTTTAAATAGATAAATTTTTGTTTAGCATATAATCAAGTCACCATATTCGGGTATAATTGAAGAAATTTTATATAATGTTGGAGATTTAGTTGAAGAAAACAAAAAACTTATAAAATTTGCAAATGAGTAATTTTATTGTGAAATTATTACTTTTTTTTAATTATAATGTATTTATGTGTGCGTATATTGAATATACATATAATTATTGCGTTTTAGCAGCGCAGTTTCACGCTCTCTTTTACTTAATGCATGTTTTCTAACCAATTAAGAAAGAATCATTTTCAAATTGAAATGAATTTACTTGTTCTTTGTATTATTAGAAATAATAATAATAACAAATTTATTTTATCAATATTAGACTCTATTAATTAAAAGAATTACTAATTATTATTTTTCCATCTTGTGATACTATTTAATATATTTTTATTTCCTTCACTCAACAATTGTTCTCTTGAATTTGCAATTTGTCTTGTATAACTTGATAGTACTTTACAGCAACCTTCTGGACCACTTAAGAAATAATTTGAATTTATACAAACTAATTTATCTAATATCCCTTGTACATCAGAACCTTGTAATTCATTAACTAAAAGATCTCCATTATTTTGCTCTTCTTTTCCAATGTAATTTAAATATCCAAAAGCATTTAAAGATTTCCAAGTTTTGATGTCTTTTATTGCAGAAATTAGTATCTTCATTGCTTTAATGTGATCAAATGTAATATCATGAAAAGTGATAGATTGAGTATGTTTATCAATATTCCCAGCATTTATACTTATACTACCATTCTTCTCACAAGTTATGGGGAAATCAGTTGCCAAATAAACATTTTTTATTCCAGTGTCTTCTCTTATTTTTTGTATTGCTTTAACCAATTCTATGGCACAATTTGGCATATTCTCTGGCAATTCTCCTTCCATTCTCCAATGTATTGCAATATATGATGATTCAAGCTGATTGGCAATTTTTAAAGCTTCATTCCTTATATGTTCTGCATAAGGAATTGGCTTGTTTAAGTTTGAAAAAATTGGCCGTTTCAGTCTAACATTAATTAATAATATTTGTGAATCGGATTCCAAACTTTTAATCATGAATTCAGAAAATTCGTCACGTTTCCTTACCATTAACATCCAAACTTCCTTAAGTTCTATTATGTTTATTTTGAATTTGTATAAAATATTCTCATTCTTATTAATAGAATTCATCTGTTTTCTATAATTAGAAGAATCTTTTAGAATAGTAAAACTTTTATACAGTCCAATTTGTTGATCTTGCTGTTGTTCTGGTTCTTTATAATAACCTTTAGTAAAAATAATGTCATTGACGTCTTTAGTTTCTGATAAAGTGATGTGCTCAGCAATAATTTTTTTATGATTTGGTTGATTTTCAATCCATTGTTCGTATTCTTCTTGAGGGACAAGTTTTGCATTTGGAAACATTTTTTTTAATAAGTTAAAATCATAATAGAAAGTTGGGGGAAATGGCGAAGATGCTGTGAATCTTGATGAGCCAACATTTGGTATCACTAGAATACGATCTAAAGATTCAGCCAATTTAACATGTGATCTTAAGTGAATATTAGCTTTAGATTCTTGTTCTGTTATGTAATATGGGAATATGAATTTACATTTATCATTACAATCTTGTAATATTGATGATGATGATGATGATGATGACGACATTTCTTCAATTTGTTTGATACTATTTCCATAAGATAAAGAATGCATTAAACTCCATAAGATAATTGTCACTACGAGTAATATTAATAATCTTTTAAGTTTATAATTCTTTCTATTTGTAATTATTTGATTGTATATTTTATTCATAGTTATTGCTTAATAACAATAAATTTTAAAATTGGTTTACGAGGAAGCTAGATATATAACAATAAGCATTTATTCATTATATGCGGGTAACAAATAATGATGATATATTAATATATAAAAGATTGATGAATGGTGGTAATATAAAAGGAATCCTTCATTATCTGAAGTTTGAGATTGGAAGATGAAAAACCTCTCTACGTACACACCCAAAAGTATCGACCCACTTGATGATCAAAAATAATCAAATAAACGTTTAATATAAATGGTCATTTGTTTACTAAGTAAATCGACGTTGTAAATTAACAAGAAAATGCTTGCTGAAATGATTTCTATTACACATTAAGATATCACGTTGGACTGATTGTTGTTGATAATTTATGATGTTTAAAAGGCGTATTAAAATTTTAGAAAAGTTGCACTTGGAGCTATTTAGGATGCCATATTTTAACACTTGGGAAATATTGTTTCTGTTTTTTCTCGAATGTATACATTTAAATTCTCATAATTATTGTTCAAGAATTAATACAATGTAAAAAAAAAAATCGTATAATTTTTTATGCAAGACGAGAAAACTTTAAATGGCAATTGCGGTTAAAATATCTAACCAAAGCTATTTTATTTTAAAAATGTTTGATCAACTTTGTTATTTTAATTAAAACATCACGCCTCAATTAACAAACTTTGAACGTGGAAGAATAACTGGGAAGCAGGTGAAAGCACTCATAGCATCGCTGGCGCACTCAATCGTTCTCATTCACAAGTAACTCGTTCTCTCCAAAAAAATACAAATAAAATGATTTCTTATTTGGTTGATCAGCAGGCTAATCTTGATCCTGATTTATTTGCTAGTAGACAGCATGCCTCAAAGGGTTCAAAAATTCTCCATGAATATTCGACCAATAATTGTAACAATTTAAATATATCATAAAATAGCTCCAAATGCAACTTTTTCTAAATGTTCGAAAATTTTAATTCGTCTTTTAAACACCATAAAATTATCAATTCAACGTGATAGTTTAAAGTGTCATACTTGGTAAACAAATGACTGTTTATATTAAACGTTTATTCGATTATTTTCGCTGACCATCGATACTTTTTTTAGGGTGATCGCCAATAAAAAATTATAGGAAATTTTTGCGGGCAACTACATAATTATAACAGAAAAAACGATATTAATATGGGCGGATCCTACCAATCCAAACAGGGACAGTAAATTATTTTCAAAAAGAATAAATAATAATTTTTTTCTATAATGAATGGAAAGAAATAAATAAAAGGTTGATAAAATGGGAAAATAAAAAAAGACCACAAACATAATAGGGATTGGACAATTTTCTACCACAACAACCTTGAAGACACTAAACAAATCCAATACAAAACCATACACAATTGGTTCATTAAAGGCTGGTCTAAACACAAAACAGTCGAATAACAACGACAATTATCATACATATAAAGGAAATTTTTTTTTTAATTTGATATATATACATTTTCATTATTGGGTTGGACACATCCACCCACAACACCAAAGATTAAACAAACATACATACAAATATGTATGTTTAACATCAACTTAAAGTAGTTACCCACCTACTGATAAAGCACAAATAATAATTAAATTTAAAAGGTGGAACAAAGATCGGTCACGATGTTTATACTGTACATGTGGTAAGGAAAAATTATGTATACAATAAATTCTAAATAAATAAAACCAACAATTCTTTTACATTAAAAAAAAAGAAAATAATAATTTTATTTTTACTTCTCCTTCTTTCACTCATATTGGACCAGGGTTTGAAATTTGTTCTGGAAAAAGCTGGCTGTACTCAATCTGACCGGGGTTCATCAATATCAATTTGAATTCAAATTAGTAAAAATTTAAGTGAATTTAGTTATTATGAAAATTGATTTTAATAAAATTTAGTAATGTCGCAAATGAATTTGAATTTAGTGGGTAAATTTAGTTACATTCTGGGAAAAATCTAATTTCTTGTAAATAAAGATTTTATCATTTATCAATTTTTATAAGTACACTGTTGGGACAAGATTTTCAATATTGTATCTGGTTCCAGGCATTCTCCAAACCATCACTTATACCACTCTCATTCACTCCATTTTCTAATAGTCCAATTTTTCTTATTAAGGCATCAACTTTGACGATTAATCCTGTGTTGTTCATTAATAAGAGGCCAAGCCGTTGGAACACGAGCATTAATATTTAATCATGTAAATTTCTTCTGATTGTTTAGTAGAAACTTGTAAATCAGTTATTTATCTTTTATTTGTTCAGCTGATTTACGATTATCTTTCTTTAATGATTTTTTCGATGAACACGATTTAAAATTCTAGGATGTCTACTTTTAGGTAAGGTTTTGACACTATCTCTCTCTTCAAAATTCAGTATTGTCCTTATTACTGTGAACCAAGAATCTTACTGATTTTTACTTTTGATGTACCGCTTTCATAAAGATCGATTATTTGACCACGTTCATTTTCAGTTTATCAAAACATGTTATTCATATAGGCTTTAGAAATTGTCAAAAAATATCATCATCAATTGTATTTTTAATTGCTCAATTTCTAGAAAATTTAGTAACAAAGATTATATATATATAATCTTCAAAACCTAGGTTATAAACTGATATAAATTTTCTGTATACACAGTGAGTCTCGGTTTAGCGGATTTAGGGGTTTAACGGAACCAAATTTTTCTATAATAATAATTATTTTATCTCGCTTTAATGGATTTAACGGATTTTTCATATTATTAATATTCGGTTTATCGGATATTTTTTAAAAATTCATATTATAATAATAATACATAGTGATTATTATCTTTAATATATGCTCTTTCATTTTAAAAAAATAAGATGCAATTAGATGCAATTCAATGAATAGGTTACATATGAAGTAAAATTTACATTTTTTTAACAGAGTGCTTTGTATACAAAGGTAAAAAAAAATTTATTATTATTATATAAAATAAATAATAGAGTATATATATAAATAAATATAAAATAAAAAATATTTTTGTAAATAAAAATTATAAAATATACATTAAAATAAAGATTTTTTGAATTGTATCAAATTATATATTCAAATCCGTTCAAATCAAATCAAATCAAATTGAATTTGAATCTGTTTGAATCAAATTATATATTCGAATCTGTTTGAATCAAATCAAATCAAATCATATATTTGAATCTGTTTGAATTGAATCAAATCAAATCATATATTCAAATCTGTTTGAATCGAATTGGTTCAAATTGGTTCAAATTTCATTGATTTGTTTGGAGCCTTATACATTTTTGAGTAGCACAATTTAATTTATTAGACTATTTCAAAGGGTTGATTCCAACTTCTTAAATTTGAACCATTTGTTAACATAACAACCATTGGTGAAGTGATTGTTGACAAAATGAATCATATTTTTACATTATCAAATTCATGATTTTGATTGGTCAATCAACAATTGTATAGGTTAAATTTTGTTACCTGTTCTTATTCCTTTGCTCAAACAAATAATTATTTTTTATGTGTCAATACACAGTGAATTCCGATTTAGCGGATTCCGATTTAACGGATTTAAGGGTTTACCGGATAAATTTTCAAATCCCAAT